TTCTTTTCCCGTCCTCCACGTTGGTCCTGCTGACGCCGTGTCTCCAAAACACCCCACTTTGTCCATTTTCCTGTATCCCCCTCCATGGCCCAAGGCCAGGCCTACAGGCTGTCTTGGCTTCTTAGTTGGACCTCTTGTTGCCTCCACCCCTGCCCAGAAAAGTCTCTGCTCCCATGGCAATTATAGACTTTTTTTTTTTTAATAAATGATTTATTTTAGAGCTGTTTTTGACTTACAGAATTATTGTGAAGATAGTACAGAATTCCTGTGTATCCCACACCTAACTTCCCCTATTATTAACACCTTACATTAATATGGAACATTTGTTACAATGAGTGAACTGATACTGGGACATTATATTTTATTTTTATTTTATTTATTTTTAAGATTTTATTTATTTGACAGGAGGAGCAGCAGGCAGAGGGAGAAGCAGGCCCTCCGCGGAGCAGAGAGCGCGATGCGGGTCTCGATCCCAGGACCCCAGGATCATGATCTGAGCCGAAGGCAGAGGCTTTAACCCAGGAGCCCCCCAGGCCTTCCAGGACCCTGGGATCTTGACCTGAGCCAAAGGCAGACGCCCAACCGACTGAGCCCTCCAGGTGCTTCCAGGACATTGTTATTAAAGTCCATGCATTATTCAGATTTTCTCTGTTTTCCCTAATACCCTTTCTCTGCCTCCAGACTGCACGTTACATACAGTCCTCAGGCCTCCTGAGACTCCTCTGGGCGGAGAGTTTCTCGGATTTTCTTGCTGTTGATGACCGGGGCAATGTTGAGAACCGGTCAGGCGTGGGCAGAGAGACACAGTGAGAGAGGGAACACAAGCAGGGGGAGTGGGAGAGGGAGAAGCAGGCTTCCCGCCCAGCAGGGAGCCTGATGCGGGGCTAGATCCCAGGATTCTGGGATCGTGACCTGAACCGAAGGCAGACACTTAACTGCTGAGCCACCCAGGCGCCCCTGTCTCGTGTTTTTTCAAGGCTGGCTTGGGGGTGACAGCTTTAGGGAGGAACACAGAGGTGAAGCAGCCTGCTTGTCACACCAAGTCCAGGGCACATGCCATCAGCCTGACTCTTCACAGTGACGTTCACCTGGATCACCTGGCTGAGGTGGCCTCTGTCGGGTGTCTCCACCGCAAAGTCACTCTCTTCCCGGGGTTCTGGTGCTTTGCCTGGCGGAAGGAAGTTACCACGCACAGCCCATACATACTGAAGGGATGGGGAGTCAGGCTTCCCCCCTGCACAAATTATTTTTAATTCCTCTCATCTCCCTGTTATCCTTCACATCAGTATGGATTCGTGGATATTTATTTTATACTTTGGGTTAAAATCTGATCTCACTTTATTGATTTTCCTACTCAAGTGATTTCAGCTTTGGCCATCAGAGGCTACTGGGTTGGTTCTCAGGGCTCTTTGACACTCCCCCATCACATCCGTGGTTTTCCCCTCTTAGCACCTCCTTACTTTGTCTTTACGAAATGCTTCATGCTCGTCTCCTATATTTCCTGCTCCAGTCCTAGAATCAGCCTTTTCTCCAAGAAGCAGCCTTTTGCCGGAGAATACAGTTGTCTCCCCTTTTGCACAGTGTGGTCACCCGCACTCCAGACACAGATGATAGCGCTTCTGACATACGGTCAGAAGGTCAACAGCAGCCTCACGCTATGTCACAAAGCCCAAGTCATTCACCTCGCTCCATGTCCTCACGTAGGCATTTTATCATCTCCCATCATCACAAGAAGGGTGAGTACACAAGATGAGAATTTGAGAGACAGACCACATTCACATAACTTCTATTATAATATTAATGTCATAATGTGCCTAATTTATAAATTAAACTTTAGCATAGGTATGTATAGGAAAAATCATAGTATAAATACAGGGTTCAGGGCTCTCCCTGGTTTCAGGCATCCGCTGGGGATCTTTTTTTTTTTTTTTTCTCAGATTTTATTTACTGGGGCGCCTGGGTGGCTCAATTGGTTAGGCAGCTGTCTTCGGCCCGGATCACAATCCGGGGTCCTGGGATCGAGCCCCTTGTTGGGCTTCCTGCTCAGCAGTGGGGGCTGCTTCTCTCTCTGCCTCTGCCTGCTGCTCCCCTGGCCTGTGCTCTCCTGCTGTCAAATAAAATCTTTAAAAAAAAAAAAAAAAAAAGAAAGAAAAGATTTTGTTTATTTGAGAGAGAGTGCACAAGCACGAGGAGGGTCAGAGGGAGAAGCAGACTCCCCGCTGAGCAGAGAGCCTGGTGTGGGACTCGATCTTGGGACTCCGGGATCAGGACCTGAGCTGAAGGCAGACGCTTTATGACTGAGCCACCCAGGCACTCCTCCACCGGGGATGTTGGAACATATTCTGCACAGATCAGAGGAACACTGCTGCGCTAACACAAACTGAGATCGGGGCATTCGTGTGCTGCTTGCTACTTCGGATCATTGCTTCTAGGCCTCACAGCTGACAGCAAGGACACAAAATGTGTCTATTACCTGCATATATACACACACCTGTAAATAGCTCCACACCTAACGGTCTGCATCTGAATTAAGTTACACATGAATTCATGCAGACGTCTCTACACCTCATCCATTAGCAAATGGATTCTTCTAGCCTCCTCCCCTTGCCTGTCTAGAACCTCCACCCCAAAGTGAAAAACCTGGCTCCCATCCTCCACCCACCCCGTTAACTTAATTGCTCCATTCCAGTGCACACTACGGTGGATCCAGGATGTCTACCTGGGCCCGTGGTGAGGGTTTCAGACAGGGATGGATCAACTTCCTCCCTAGCTCCAAACCCTCCTGTAGGGCTTGGCACCCTCAGTAAAGACACCATGCCCTCCCACAGCCCTCCAGGCCTGTGCACCCGGACACTGTGTACAACCCTGTCCTCGTCTCTCCCTGCCGGCTCACTGCTGACCTGACAAAATCAATCCCACCTCAGGGCCTTTGCCCCTGTTGTTCCCTTGGCTGCGGTGCTCTCCTCCCAGCTCTACATCTGACCACTAACTCAACTCTTAGTTTCTACACAGAAGCCCTGGTCAGGCTTCCTTCCAGTCCAATGCTGAACCCCCCCACCCCACCCCGCCCCAGGGTTACGGCATGGCTGGGAGTCATCCCTTCCCCCAAAAGGCTGGAAGCCTCGTGGGGGCCCTGGCAACACTCATATGGACCAAGTGTATTTACACTCACCATACACATCTCCCCCAAGCCCCAGGCAGGGGGAAGGGGGTGGCGGTGGTGATTCTCTTATTTTATAGGACAGGGTACTGAGTCTTGGGGACAAGAAGCTACTCTCTGAAGTCACACACCAAAGATATGTCAGAGACAAGAATTAACTCAGGTTCACTGGTGCCAAAGCGCCCACCCACCTTGACCTCAGATCCTAAAACAATGCTGAGGGGATGGGGAGTACGGGATGCAGAACTCTTTGTTGCAGAAGGAAACCTGGGGGTCCAGGCCAGTTTTCTTATTTCTGAGATGGGGGGGAGGGAGGGTCTGGGAGCACACAGAGAGGATAAGTAACATCCCTCAGGTCACCAGCAGTACAACCATTTCCTGAGCACCTACTATGTGCCAGGTGGGGGAAGGCACATACTCTGTGTAGGTGGGTGCCGGCCTTGACCTGTCCTGGCAGTGACCCAGACTATTACAGACTAGAAGGAAAGAGGAGGGTGACTTGCTGGTGGACAGGGTGGCATTTTAAAGGGAGCAGTTCAGGAAGAGCCAAAAGTGGGGGTGGGGGGAGTAGGTCAGAACCAGAGGGAGAACAGGGAGGGCTTCTTGGAGGAGGGGCCTTAGCAGGTGGGGCCTGGAAGATGAGAGCTTATCGCACTGTTCTTACAGGGAGAGGCAACCCTCCCCTCCTCCACCATTACCTCCTAAGAGCCCCGTTCTTCCCAGAAAAGCCCCCCAGCCTCCCCTGCCCCATCCCCAGCCCCTTGAAGGGAAAGTCCCAGCTGCTCAGCGGGGTGTCTAGGCAGCTAGAGGGCTAGCCCCATCCCGCAGCCTCCCCTTGGGGAGCTTCAATATTACCAGTCTTCTTTCAGTTCCTTTAGAAGACCAAGCCTGGGCCTCTGTGGGTCCCCTGCCAGGTGTGCTCTCCCTCTTCCCCCAACAGTGGCTTAATCCTCTGCTTCCTCATGGGGCCTTTTCTCACCCCCAAGCGGCACATGGATCCTCCTCTGGCACCGTGCTCCCCCCCAATCCCCACCCGACACTGTGGGTTGTTGTAGCCTCCTGTGTGACTCCCCCACTTGCCCATTTGCCCCGTGAGGGCAGCACCTAGCATGCTGGCTGATGCGTGGCCGGCTGGTGGGCATCCCAGGGAGAGGACACCGTGGGTGCAGAGGCCTTAAGTGTGATCTAAATGTCGCAGGAACATGGCAAAATCAGGGGGCAGCTGTGGCTCCGGCTCGGGGTATCAGGGAGGGGCTGCCCGTGAGCTGGCTGCGCAGAGTGGGTGCCCGGGCCAAGGTCGCACAGCCGGCTCCCGGCGCATGCTCCAGGCAGGGCCCCCAGGTGCTTCGGCTGCTGTGGGGATATTTTTAGTGCGCACTCAGGCAGAGGCTGGGCCAGACAGCTGTCAGGAGGGATTGGGGGAGAGGGAGGAAGTAGACAGAGAGAGAGAGAGAAAAAAAAAAAAAAAAAACCAAAGAGGAGAAAGCAGGAGAGGAGAAGAGGGAGACCCTAGGGCCAAGGCCTTCCAGCTATAAATGCCCTAGACCGGGAGCCGAGCTGGCACGTCACAGCCCACAGTTCAAATTGAGCCTACAGCAGTAGTCGAGTAGCAGTAGGCTCGCGCAGTGTTACTGGAATCCAGTCTTTTCCATCTGTGTTCAGCTCCAACGGCAGAGTTGTCCGAACTGAGAGCACAGGATCCATGACACTGAAAAAAATTCACTGTCTGGCTCTACAGAAAAAGTTTGCCAAACCCTGACCGAGACAAAACTGTCTTTGCTGGGGGCACTTGTCAGTAATGAGCTGATTTTCACCATTTCTGATTCTTCTCCCTTCAGGTACAAGGGAGGAGTGCATCTCAGCTCCTGAATCAGGCAGTCACGTGACCTGCTTTGGTCAAAGAAATGAGAGAAATGGGATGTCACTTCCTGGTAGTTAAGCCCTTAAGAACCCCTGCCTGATTCACCCTGTTCCCATCCCGCCTCGCCACCTGACGTTCTAGGTGGTAGGAGCCCTGTAATGCTGAGCGGAGTGACAGTGTTGAGAAACACAGCAACATCAGAATCAGAAGGGCAGGGAAAGATCCACCTGGTATTAAGGGCAAAACCCAGACCCACCCCACCCCCGTTTATTAAAATAAAAATACAAAGTGGAGTTCTTCCTAGGAATGTAAGGATAAATCAGTGTTAGAAAACCTACTAATAGTGCTTAAAAAAAAAGACAAACTTATCCTCCAGTGGTTCTTAACTTTATTTTGAGGCCCCATTATTAGCTGCAAAGAAGTTTAGACTCTATCTTCCTTGTGAATTAAAAGCTCTAATTTGAGGGGCGCCTGGGTGGCTCAGTTGGTTAAGTGGCTGCTTTGGGCTCACATCATAATCTCAGGGTCCTGGAATTGAGCCCCATTTGGGGCTTCCTGCTCAGCGGGGAGTCTGCTTCTCCCTCTGCCCCCCTCCCCCGCTTATGCTATCTGTCTCTCTCTCTTTAATAAATAAATAAAATCTTTAAAAAAATAAAAGCTCTAGTTTGATAATCCTTATTTCTAAAAATATATAATATAATTTTATTAATGTAGATCAGCTTTCTTATTTGCCAGGTTTTTCTCATCCCTTAAAATTTTCAGCATCTAAGCATACATGTTTAGATATTTCCTATAGATAGCTTCAAATTTTGAATTAAAAAAAGGTAACAGTCTACCTTTTGTCCTTTAGCTTGACCATTTACATTTATTGTAATTGCTGGCAAATTGTATGTATTTCCATGATCTTATTTTGGGCTACTGGAACCTCCTTTGCTATGGAAGAATTATTCTGGATTATTTTTCACTCCAATTTTTGCCCCCTAACAGTTTGGAAGTTATAGACTAGTTCTATTCTCTTAGTATTTACCATGACTATTAATATCTTCTACTCCACTCAACCGAGTACTATGTCCCACTCTCCTCAAACAATATAGGCACAGCTCAGAGATACTGTGGGTTCAGGTCCAGATACTGACCACAATAAAGCAAATATTCCAATAAAGCCAAACAAATGAATTTGTGGCCTCCCAGTGACTGTAAAAGTTACATTTGCACCATATGTAGTCCATTAACCATGCAATAGTGTTACGTCTAAACAACGCACATACCTTAATTAAAAATACTTTATTGCTAACAAATGCTAAACGTCATTTGAGCTTTCAGAGTTGTAGCCACGGATCACTAACAAATAGAATAAGAGTTTGAAATATTGCCAAGAATTACCAAAATGTGACAGAGACAGAGTGAGCATCTGCTGTTTGAAAAATGGCACTGGTAGACGTGCTCAACAGAGTTGCCTTCGATTTGTAGAAACGCAGTAAAATGAGACTGGCCTATACACAGATTTTAAAACCTTACTCAACTATTTTTTGCCCTTGTTGTCTCATGTAATTGGGACTTTAATCCTACACAGTGGACTTTACAGTTCTTGCTAATGAAGGTGATGTTCCTTCAGTTGCATTTCCCACCTTTCTGCTGTCTCCTCCTGCATGTCAACCCACCTCCCTGGTTCATTTTCTTTCTGCCCTAAACAGCTCCCTCAGCATTTTGTTCAGCGAGGGCCTTCCCTTCTCTGTCCTTCTCAAAAGATATTTCTGTTGTGTAAGCATCTCTGGGCTGCAGTTTTCTCTCAGAGCCTCTCCCAGCCTCCCTGGGTCCTGAGTTCTGGGCCGTGGGACTGAGAAGGCTCTCCAACGTCATTCTCGATTTCCTTGCTGCCTGTGGTTTTCAGTCCTGAATCAGCTGTTTTTTTATATACCTTGCTTATGTGGCTGGCTTTCTGAAACCTGGTAAATTGGTGTCTCTCATCCATTCTGGAAAGTTCTCCACCTTCATCCTCTTCAGAGTTTGCCTCTGCTCTCTCTCCATCTCTTAACCTCCCTTTTCTTCCCGTGTTTGGGAAATTCACCGCACTCCATCTTCTAGCTCACCAGTTTTCTCTTCGGCTAGCTCAAATCCACTGTCGGCCATGTCCAGTGTTCAAAGTCTCCACCATCTGCTAATTTCTCTTATTTCTATTTGGCTCTTCCACTAATGTCTTGTTCTTCACACTTCAGGATTAAACACACCAGTTCTGGGTCTGATGATGCCGACATTGGAGGTCTCTGCTGCCTTGTGTCCCCTGGCTCCCACACACAAGGACACACTATGACTTTGATGCTGGCTCATTCGCAGTTCCTGGGATGGGACTGGGGGAGTTCAAGGCTGGGGCTGAGGGCTCATCCAGCAGACCTCCACGGTCATCACCACCCTGGACAGCTTTAGACCGTTTTGTTCAATCAAGGCCTCTGGCCACGCAAGGAACGCTGGGAGTTGCACACTCCAGCAAGGTCACCATACACCAGGCTAGATTCTACCCCCTCTTCCTCCCTACAGCCAGGCTAGAGATAACCAAGTTTCCTTTCCATTCCTGGGAAAATCTTATTTTGATTTTGACTTCACCCTCTGAGGTCTTAACAGAGCCACCATACTGAAGGCCCAAGAAGACAGAAGACCAAACCCGCCTTGTCTAACACAGAAGCTGCTTCCTTCCTGGGGCTCCTGCCTAGGCTGACATTCTGGTCTCTGACAGCTCCTTACCCTCTGGTTGCTCACAGACACAGTAATCAAGACTTAACTCATTTTTATCCAGCAATTTTCATTGATTTTCTGGGAGGATCAGTTTGAGAATCTAGTCTACTATCCGGCCAAAAGCAGAAATTTTTTTTTTTAGGATTTTTTTTTACGTAATCTCCACACCCAACGTGGGGCTCAAACTCACAACCCTGAGATCAAGAGCCACGCGCTCTACCAACTAACCCAGCCAGGCGCCCCTGAACGTTTCTTACAGCATGTGTTTGGGCCCCCTCCGTGGACAATTTAGAACTCCAAAAAGAGTGAGCATGTGAAAACAGCTGGGAATTTAAGAAGGGAAAAAATAAAATTAAGGAGAAAGAACCTGCTGAGCAGCTATTAAGACACACAGGACTACACCAGGGAAATAGCCAGGAGAGGACCAGAAAAGCCGGTGACGGATTAGAGCAGATGCAAAAAACAGACGCCAGCACACTAGGGTCTTAACTCAATAGGGAGGAGGGAGCATTTCAAATCTGTACCCAGCCTGGGGACCATCCACTGGCTCTTTGGGCTGGGGCAACCCCTCCATCTCTCTTCATCCCTAAATAAGGCCTAGATGGATAAAAATAAAAGTTAAAATTATAAGCAGAGAGAAAAAAAAACAAACACGGGAGAATTTGTGCCAGCTGCAAGAACAGCCTCTCAAAGCATGAAAAGAAAGACATTTAAAAACGGTGGTTTGAAAACCATAAAAATAAAATGTTTACAGAAAAAGTGCTCATGAAATTGAGAGGTCGATCTGGTAAAAAAAGAAAAAAAAGCTCACCACAAAAAGCTTAATGGTTAAGATGGTAAATGTTAAGATGTTTTTTAATACAACTGAAAAAATTTTAAAGTGTGTTTTTTTAAAAGATTTATTTATTTGACAGACAGAGATCACAAGTAGGCAGAGAGGCAGGCGGAGAGAGAGGGAGAAGCAGGCTCCCCGCTGAGCAGAGAGCCCGATGTGGGGCTGGATCCCAGGACCCTGGGATCATGACCTGAGCTGAAGGCAGAGGCTTTAACCCACTGAGCCACTGAGGCGCCCCTTTTTAAAAGACTTTATTTGTCAGAGAGAGAGCGAGCACACGCACAAGCAGGGGGAGCAGCAGGCAGGAGGAGAAGCAGGCTCCCCACTGAGCAAGAAGCCCGATGCAGGGCTCGATCCCAGGACCTTGGAATCAGGACCTGAGCTGCAGGCAGACGCTTAACCAACTAAGCCACCCAGTCGTTCCTAAAAAGTATGTTTAAAAAACAGAATTATGATATATAAATGAGAAAAAGATACACATGTAAGAAAACAGTCGAAGCAGCCAATTACAGATAAACACATTTTAGAAAACCTGGTAATAAAACAAATGAAATGAGAAGGGGAGGCAGCACCTGTCACTCAACATTTGGCCGCAGTGAAACCTCTGGCCACGTGGCCTCACATATGCACAGTGACCCACCCTATGACCCGGGGCTGAGAAGTGCCCCCCTTACCTAGCAACAGGAAAAAGCCGGCAAGGGGCCATAGCCTGCGTGCCTGGCAGCAGAAGCAGCAGGTCTGACTGTCCCCACACCACATACCGGCTGGGCGCGACACCCGTACCCCCTTTCCTGTGAGTGGGTGATAGGCGGGTTCAGCAACAACCAAGTGGGTGCAGGGTCGCAGATCCAGGTCCCAGGTGCTGAGCAGCTCCCCGCAGACCGCTGCTCCCCCTTTCCCGGGGATGCAGCACTCTGAGCTGGGCCCTGACATCACCCACGGCACCCTGCTGAGTCCTGACCCCTCTCTGGGCTCTGGGGTGGGCTCTCCTGATGCCCTCTGCATTTCTCGACGGCCTGGCCCCGTCAAGTCCCAATATCCCACACGAGGACAGCCTGACAGCAGTTCAGCGGCTCCCACAAGGACAGTCAGGTCCCCCACACCAACCCGCCTGCTGCCACGCTGCCCGCTCTGGAATGAACCGTGTGCCCTCTGGGGCGTCTGGAATAAACCTATTTGCCGGCCACACGGGTAGATAAAGAGCCAGGCAGGCCTCCCTGCACTGAAGCTCCCTTGTTTGACAGGTCTTGGTTTCCCTTTCTTTCTTTAAGATTTTATTTATTTATTTGTTTATTTGACAGAAAGAAGCCGGCTCCCAGCTGAGCAAGCAGCCCAACACAGGGCTCGATCCCAGGACCCCAGGGTCATGGCCCGAGCTGAAGCAGACGCTGAACCCACTGAGCCACCCAGGCGTCCCTTGGTTGGTTTTAAGAACTGGCCTTTGGGACCACTTGTTTTTTTCCCTTCTGGCACTTTAAATTCCCACTCCCGTGGTTTATGGTTAGCACTAAGCAACGAGCCCTGGGAACCCCAGGCTCCCATCCTGGACCCCAACAGAAGCAGAGCCCAACCAGTGACCACATGGCCCCGTGTCTGTTCCCCGCCCTCTCACTGTGTGGCGCGGGGGGTGAGGGGGGTGTCACCCTGCGGTCTCCAGGTCCTGTCAGTAAGAAACCTTTATTTTTTTCAGTTTTCTGATGGTTGTTGCTGAAGGGGGAGCAACCACAAGGGCCAGGCCAACCAGACACTGGACACTGGCCAGCTGAGATCTAACCAGTTCAAGCCCCCTCCCCCCAATTCCAATGTTTAAGCCCGACTCCCCATCCTGATGGTGTCTGCGAATACGGGGGTTCTGGGGGAGTATCAGGTAGTGGAAGGGGGGGCTCGCAATGGGATTCATGCTCTCCTAAGAAGGGGGTATGAGAGAACATGCCCCCAAACCCCCTCCCTCTCCACATGAGCACAGGGCCAGGAGGCGGCCAGGAGTCCTAGCCAGGACGCCTCCTCACCAGAGCCCGACCGAGCCGGCACCCCGACTCCCGGCTCCAGGGCTGTGAGAAACAAGCGAGTCCTCGGTGGAAGACCCACCACAGCCGCAAGTGGTGTCTCGGGCCACCGCAGCCAGGGAAGGGAGCCCCGTGCTGACCGCCTCCTCCAGGGCCGCCATCACAAAGCACAACAGCAGTTCCTTCTCATGCACTTCTGGAGGCTGAACTCTGAAATCAATGTTCCTTTAGAAAATTCTAGGGGGGGACCACCCCTCACCACTCCCAACTTCGGGAGGCTCCAGTGAGGGCCACAGGCTCTGCCTCCATCTCCATGTGGCCTTCCTCTCTCAGTGTCACCTCTTTTGTCTCTTACGAGGACAACTGTCATTGGATTTAGGGCCCATCCAGATAATCCCAAGATCCTTCACTTAATTCCATCTCTCTACTCAGTCCCACTCATGAACATCGGGTGACAGGACAGATGCATGCTTTCTAGGTTGCTGTCTAAGCCAGTGCACGTGGCACCTTCTCTAACGTTAAGTTCTAGGTCTCCCCACACGGGCAGGGGGTGGGCAAGGAAGGGGGATCTTTCAGGAATTGATGTCTTGTAACCTTTGGGTTTCCAATTCTTAAGACCTCTCTGTCGCGTGGGACTCTCTTGCCATGACATCGACCATCTCTAGAAATGGAGAGGAAACTGTTTTCCCAGGTTTGGAGCTTAGAGCCTTGGATTCAAATCTCACCCAGTCACAGACCCACGCGTGTGATGGAGGTCCAGCAGCTACCCAGGGGAACCAGCTTCCCCACTGGGAAAATCAGCCCCTCACGGTCAGCAGCACACAGCAGCCGCTGGTGGTCCCTGCCCAAGAGGCCCACCCACCCCTGGGCCTGTGTCCTTCCATCCGCAACATGGAGGCCGGAGCGTGCCTCACCTGGGGGCTCCTGCAGCTGCCCCTGAACTGGGAGGCCAGCAGAGTGGCAATGACACCCCCGGACGCCACCAAGTCTCCTGTCAGCAGAAGGAATGAAGGCTACAGCCGAGTGGGGTACCTGGTTTATTTCTGATGCGGGGGACTCTCAGGCAGTGGTCGACTCCGGGCTGAGGGGCTGGGTGGCGGGCACGGGGCTAGAACTCCACCTTGCAGGCGGGGAAGGCCTCGTCCTGCATGGACACGGTGCTGTTGCTGCCCAGCACGGTGATGCCCAGAGCCTGGTGCCGTGCGTGCGTCTCCTCATACCACTCGTGCATTGCCACCGAGTCGAAGGTGGGGATCAGGGTCACCTGCGGGTGGGACAGACGGCCCGGAGGTGAGGGAAAGCACCCTTGGCCCTCCTGGCCCGGAGCCCCAGCTCCACTCCTGGGACCTCAGGCCCTCCTCCTCTGAGCATGTTTGCTCAGCTTTCCCTCTCCCCCACCCAGATGTCTGTAGCTGGGGGCCAGCCCAGCCCTGAAGTCCCTCCTCTTCTCTGCAGCACCCAGGGGAAGGGAGCCTCTCACGACACAAGACGCCAGGCCTCCCTCCAGCTCCTCCCCTGCACCAGCCAGGTTTGCTCCACCGCCCTGCCCTGCGCCTGGGACCCTCCCTCCAGGCTCCCTCCAGTCTGCGGGGCTCCCGCGAGGCTGGGTGCCAGCCCGCTCACAGGCAGCACGAGGGCCAGGAAGCTCCTGCTTCCACCCAAACTTGTCTCCTGCTCCAAGGCTCTGCCTCAAGGCTTCCTCTGAGGACAAACGCAGCCCAAAGGCTCCACATTCCAATCTGTCAGCCGCAGGGACACCCCGCCTGTTCCTCCCGACCTAGCGCCGCCCCCAGGCTGCTGCTGACAGACCAGGTGGATGCAGCAGGAACAGAGTCCTGGGAGCAGGGGGGCCTCCGCGCCTGCGTTCACTTCCGTGGCCCTGGGGGCACAGCTGAGTCTCTCTGAGCCCCACTCCCTCTGCAGATGGCTGAGGGTCGCACAAACCTCATAAGATGACGTTCAACGGGAAGGTTGCAGGAGGCGTGGACCCAACCTTCTGCCAAGACTGCCTGAGGCCCTGGAGTAGTCACGCACCTGGAGGTCACGGTCCCACTGCTGCTTGCCAGCCAGGAGGGCGTCCAGGACAGCCCGCATGCCCTCTTCCTTACGCTGGTCCTGGCCACTGATGACGTAGCAGAGCGCACGAACCCGCCGGAAGAACTCCTCGTCCAGCAGCCGGGCGCTGCTCCCGCTGGGCAGGTAGGCCAGGTCAAGGTAGACGGGGGAGCCAGGAGGGGCTGCCGACCCACCTGGTCGGCTGCCAGCTGACCCTGCAGGTGAGAAGGACGATGTCAGTCCTGAGCTCCTGGATCCAGGAAGGAGCCGAGCCCCAGCTCCCCCTACACCTCTCCAAGTGGTTCCCTCCTCAGAAGAAGGCCTGTTCTCACTATCTTATAGTTGATAAGCTCTCTCTGGTGTGGACAGTTACTCAGTGAGCTCTGCAGATACCCCTGGTCATATCCTCAGGGGCTAGTCCCTGGGTGCAGATACCCAGGGCCAAAGGTAAGGAGGGTAGGACGGGGCAACCAGGGATGGCTTCCTGGAAGAGGAGGTATTAGAGCTTTGGCTCCCAAAGCAACCGATACCTAGAACAATGTGCTGCTTCTGCAGCATCCACCTGTTCAACTACTCAAGTGGCCTTTATCGAGCCTTCCTGGCCAATATGCACTGAGGACATAGCAGTAAGCAAGAGAGACGAAAATCCCTGCCGCCAAGGGCAATGGGAAGACAGAGTGGGTGTGGGAGGGACAGAACTACAAGAGAAAGAGCCAGGACGTGGCATGGCTCTCAGAGCCTCATCCATGGTCTTGAATCCAGAGTCTCGGTGAAGGGGGATGAGGCCCCCAGTCCTCAGTGTGTCTCATAAGCAACTGACTGAGGACACACCTGGATGTGAGGCCCAGGAAAGCAGCCAGATGCTTGGCACCCTATGATCACACACACCGCCCAGCTCAGCGTGTGGGTCCAGAGGGCTGCCAAGGCATTTGCAGAATGAATGACTCCCCCAGCTCTGGGCACGCAGCACACCTCACTCACTGCTGGGAACAGCGGCGGTGAGGATCTTAAGACTCAGGAAGAGAAGCCCCTATGGCGACGGGAGGCTCACGGGAGAGAGGAGCCATGGAGGCAGAAGAGCGAAGGGAAGCCGCAGGGGAGCGGGACAGGGGCAGAGCGGGGCCCTCCGCACCGCCTGCTGTCGTCCATGCAGTTCTACCAGACGCCCGTCCGGTTACATCCTCGGCTGTTCTTCTGCCACGGCGCAGAGTCGAGTTGTTGGGACAGAGGCCATCTGGCCTGCAGAGCTGAAAACGTTCATATTCTGGCTCTTTTGAGGCGCAGTTCACGGACACTAGCACAGAGGGTCCGTCTGTCCAAGGTGGTAGGAGAAGGAGACCCCAAGTGGCCAAATGGCCCGGCAGACCGGGCCCTGGAGGACTCCCAGCCTCCAGGTGCTAGCCCAGCCCCACAGGCCCGGGGAGCCACCTGCCACCGTGCTGGGGACCCTTGACCTTCCAAATCTCACAAGGGCTCCTCAGGTGCCTCCCTTGGAATGTGCCCAACAAGGGTAAGAAGTGGCAGCTCAGGTGGGCACTGAGGCTAGGAGCCAACGAAAGGCCACGGGTCGAGAGAAGCCAGAGCCATGGTCAGGGACACCCAGGCACCTGGAACAGGTGAGCAAGCATGCAGGGACACGAGCTTGAGCTATGATCACTGCCAGCCATCATCACTGCTCTCCCATGAGCCCCTGGGTCCTTCTGCGGTGTCACCAACCACTGCAACGTGACGGGCACGCGCTGAGATGAGCAGGGGCTGCAGAACACATGTGAGCACCCAGGGCTTTTTTTTTTTTTTTAAAGACTTATTTATTTTGGAGAGAGAAAGAGAGAGAGCACAAGCATGAGTAGAGGGAGTGGCAGGCAGAGGCAGAGGGAGTGGCAGGCGAAGCAGGCTCCCAGCTGAGCAAGGAGCCCCATATGGGACTCGATCCCAGGACCCCAAGATCATGACCTGAGCCGAAGACACGCTTAACTGAGCCACCCAGGCGCCCCCAGGCATCCAGGACCTGGTGTGGCAACAGGAAGCAGAACTAGCTAGTAATTTTTCATATCGATGACACGCTGGAATATTCTGATAGAGCGGTAGGTAGGACAGAGTGAACTCAGCAGGATTCGGGGATGACGATGCAGCAGGAAACGGCGGGAATTTGCCTTTTGACCCAGAGGACAGGACAGTCGCGCCGGCAGCCCCTCCCCAACTTACATTGCCCGACTTACATGAGACTGAGAGACTGGGAACATTTTCTCTCCTTTTCTCCCTCCCACCTCCCTTCCTTTTTCGCTTTTTTCTTTCCCCCTTTTGGGAGCCAGACATGCAAGGACTAAGTCATTCAAAAGCCACTGCGCTGAATCACTGTTATCGTACACCTGAAACTGATGTAACACCAAATGTTAACTAGATTGGCATTAAAATAAAAAACTTAATAAAAAAAAAAAAGCCACTCTGTATACAGGGGATTTAGCGTAGTCCTCACAAACGCAGGAGAAAGGTACAGGCTCAGAGAGGACTTGAGAAGACTCTCCATTCCCCTGCAGACTGACCTCCAGCACGGAAGCAGCACCCAGCATCAACCAGAGAAGCCATGTAAACCTCCCCCTGGGGAAGGGGGAGATCTGGATCTCTGGAGTTAACACACTATTAAATCTGAATGTCCAGTTTCCAGCAACAGCAACAACCACAAGGCATAAAAAGAAACAGGAGAAGTACAGCCTATTCAAAGGGAAAAAAAGAAAAAAAAAGTCAACGGAAACCAGAAAGGCCTGATGGCAGGCTTACTGGACAAGAACTTGAAAGCAACGGTCTTAAAGATGCTCTCAGAAAGAAAGGAAGACATGCAAGACAACGTTGCACAAACGAAACAAATGTCACCGAGGACACAGAAAACACAGAAATAAACCCAAAAGAAATTCTGTAGCTGAAAAGTACAATAACTGAAATGAAAATTCACCAGAGGAATTCAATTCATGATTCCAACAGTGATTTTTGATGATAGGATGAGAGCAATTATCAAGTCCGAGGAACGCGGAGAGATGACGGAAGAAAGTGAGCAGCAGCTTCGGGGACTTTTAGGACCCCATTAAAAGGGCCAACACGCACATGGAGTCCCAGGACAGAAAAGAGCAGAATGAATTTTTGAAGAAATAACGGCCCCAAACTTTCCACAGTTGATCAAAGGTGTTAATATAAACGTCCAAAAAGCTCAACAAATTCCAAGTGGGATGACCTCAAAGAGATCCACAGTGAGACCCACTATAATCTGACTGCTGAAAGACAAAGAGGGAATCCCTTTGAGGGAAAGCAGAGATAAAGGGAAAGTTTATACCTAAAAATGTTTATATTAAAAAAGAAGGGGTCACCTGGGTGGCTCAGTGGGTTAAGCCTCTGCCTTCGGCTCAGGTCATGATCTCAGGGTCCTGGGATCGAGCCCCGCATCGGGCTCTCTGCTCAACGGTGAGCCTGCTTCCCTCTCTCTCTGCCTGCCTCTCTGCCTACCTGTGATCTCTCTCTCTCTCTGTCAAATGAATAAAAATTAAAAAAAAAAAAAAAAAAAGATCTTTTGGGGTGCCTGGGTGGCTCAGTGGGTTGAGCCTCTGTCTTTAGCTCAGGTCATGATTCTCAGGGTCCTGGGATCAATCCCCGCACCGGGCTCTCCGCTCGGCGGGGAGACTGCTTCCCCCACTCTCTGCCTGCCTCTCTGCCCACTTGTGATCTCTCTCTCTCTCTCTGCCAAATAAATAAAATCTTTAAAAAAAAAAAAAAAAAAAGATCTCAACATGACAACCTTTCACCCCAAGGAACTAGAAAAAGAACAAAAGGAAAGCTAGCCAAAAAAAACAAAATGATAAAGAGAAGAGCAGAGATTTTAAAAATTGAGACTAGAAAAACACAAAAGATAATCAACAAAAGCAAAAGTTGGTTCTTGACAGCCCTTTAGCTAGACTAAGAAAAAAGAGCAAAGACTCAGAAGTAAAAGTGGGGACACTACTACCGACTCTACAGATATAAAAAGCATTATGAGAGTATTGTGAACAGCTGTACAACCAACAAACTGGATGACCTAGAGAAAATTACACAGATTCCTAGAAACACGAAACCTACCAAGACCAAATCACAAAGAAACAGAAAAGCTGAACAGATTATTGTTAGTAAGGAGACCGAATCAGTAATTAAAACCCTTCTTGGCTTCACTAAGTTTCCACCAAACATTTAAAGGAGAACTAACATCGATCCTTCTCAAACTTTACCAAAACCACTAAAGAACAGGGAACACATCTAATTCATCCATGAGGCCAGTGATACCAAGGTCAAAGACATTATGAAGAAAATTACAGACCAATATCTCTTATTAACCTTGATGCAAAAATCTTAGCAAGCAAATATTAGCAAGCCAAATTCAGCAGCATATTAAAAGGATCAGACACTGTGATCACGCAGGATTTATCCCTGGGATGCATGGTTCAACACATCAAAAAGGAAAAAAAAAAAAAAGAAGAAAGAAAAGAAAAGAAAAATCAATGTAGGCCCATGTTGGGTGTAGAGATTACTTGAAAATAAAATCTTTTTTTGTTTGTTTTTAAGAATTTATTTATTTTTTTGAGAGAGTGAGAGTGAAAAAGCACAGCAGGGGTGGGGGAGCAGCAGAGGAAGTGAGAAGCAGGCTCCTGCTGAGCACGGGATCCTGGACCCTGGGATGATGACCTGAGCAGCAGAGGAAGTGAGAAGCAGGCTCCTGCTGAGCACGGGATCCCAGGACCCTGGGATGATGACCTGAGCCAAAGACAGGTGCTTAACTGACTGAGCCACCCAGGTGCCCCTTAAAAACAAAATCTTAAAATAAGAGAAAAATCAACACAGTACATCAGATTAACAGAATGAACCAAAAAAAAAAAAAAATACACAATAATTTCAATTGCTACAGAAAAGGCATTAAACAAAATTCAACACCCTTTCATGATAAAAACCCTCAGCAAATTAGGAGTAGCAAGAAACTGTCTCAACGTAATACAAGCTATACATGAGAAACCCACAGCTCATGTCACACTTGGTGAAAGACTATAAGCTTTTTTTCCTAAGAGCAACGACATGACAAGAAATGTTGGCTTTTGCCACTTCTAGTCAACACAGTGCTGGATACCTTAAAGTTATCTCTGTTCACAGAGGATATGCTCTTATGTGTAGAAAACTCAACTGATGCGTGAGCGCACACGTGCGCGCGTGCGCGCACACACACACACACACACACACACCCCATCTACTAGAATAAACAAATCCAGCAAAGTAGCTGGATAACAAAATCAACACAGAAATCAGTTATGCTCCTATATGCTAATAGTGAACAACCTAAAAAGGAAATTAACAATTCCATTTACAATAGTATCAAGAAAGAATAAATACTTAGAAATTAACTTAACCAAGAAAATAAAATATACAAAAACTACAAAACACTTCTGAAAGAAATGAAAAAAGTCATAGAAATTCACAGAAAGACATACCGTATTTGTAGACTGGGAGACTTACTATCCACTGAGCTGCTGGCACTACCTAAAATGACCTATGGATTCAATGCTGTCACGGGCCAAGTGCCAGTGATGGCCTTTCAGAGAAATAGACAAATTTACCCTAAAACTCCTATGGAATCTTAAGGGATTCCAGAAGGCAAGACAATACTGAAGAATGAAGTTTGGAGGACTCACACTTCCTGATTTGTAAATTCACGGAAAAGGGATACCAATCAAGACAGTGTGGTACTGACGAAAGACAGATACGTAACAGGCCAGGGGAACGGAGAGCCCAGAAATAGAGCCTCATATATATGGTGAAATGATGTTTGACAAGAATGCCAAGACTGGTGCTAGCAAAACTGGATGTCCAGATGGAAGAGAATGAAGTTGAACCCTTATTTAGCACTACAGGCAAAAAATTAACTCAAATCATCAAGGAGCAAGATATAAGAACTAAAACCATAGAACTCTTAGAATAAAGCAAAAGCTTCACGAGACTGAATTTGGCAATGATTTTTTTGGATAGGACACCAAAAGCACAGAGGGGAAAAAAGAAAAGGCAAACCGGACTTCATGAAAATTATAAACTTCCGTGCAAAGAGCACTGTCAACAAAATAAAAAAGCAACACACAGAATGGAAGAAAATATTTGCAAATCATATATCTGATAAAGGATTACCGTACAGAACATATGCAGAACTCCCATAACCCAACAACAACAAGACAACCAGATTCAAAAAGGGGCAAAAGACCTGAACAGGGGTGCCTGGGTGGCTCAGTGTGTTAAAGCCTATGCCTCCGGCTCGGGTCATGGTCTCAGGGTCCTGGGATTGAGCCCCACATCGGGCTCCGCTCGGCAGGGAGCCTGCTTCCTCTGTGTCTCTGCCTACTTGTGATCTCTGTCTGTCAAATAAATAAATAAAATCTTTAAAGAAAAAAAAAAAAAAAAAAGACCTGAACAGAACAGACATTTCTCCAAAAAAGATATATAAGTGGCATGGCTGACAGTACGGGAAAAAGGTGCTCACTAATTAGGGAAATGCAAATCAAAACCACCGTGAGATACCACCTCACACCCATCACGCCGCCACGATCAGAAAATTACAGAAAGCAGTGTTGGCAAGGATGTGGCGAAACTGGAACTTTTCTGCACCGTTGGTGGGAGTCTAACATGGTGCAGCTGCTGTGGAAAACAGTATGGCAGTTCCTCGGAAAATAAATGAATAAATAAATAAATAAATAAATAAATAAATAAATAAATAAAACTGCCATATAATCCAACAATCCTTCTTCCGGGAATATACCCAAAAGAGTTGCAAGCAAGATCTCCAAAAGATATCCGTCCAACCGTGTTCACGGCAACATGATTCCACAGTAGCCAAAAAGCGGAAACAACTCAGGTGTCCATCAGCAGGTAAATGAATAAACAAAATATGGTACAACCACGTAGCAGAATAATATTCAACCTTAAAAAGAAAGGAAATTCTTAACCAAAAAAAAAAAAAAAGGGAAGAAAGTTATAACCCAGGCTACAGCACAGATGAACCACGGAGACACTCTACTAAGTGAAGTAAGATAAATACTGTATGATTTTCCTTACGCGAGATCCCTAGTGTCGTTGGAGCCATAGAAACAGAAAATAGAACGAATGAGTGGTGGGTGCCGGGGACTGGGAGAGGAGGAACGGGAGTTAGTATTTAATAGGGACAAAGTTTCGGTTTTGCAAGATAAACAGGGACCCTGGTGATGGTTGCACAACAACGCGAATGTGCTTGACCCTGAACTGTGCACTTTGGCACGGCTAAGGTGGTCACGTCGCGTACATTTCACAACTAAGGAAAACTGGGAGAAAAGTTACCAGGGCGTACACAAGACTGCTGGCCTCAGAGGTGACTTACAGGGTGGCCCCTGGCTGGAGTCTGGGGAAAACAGATCTCAGAAAGGTCCCCACTGCCTGTGCGACAAGAGTGGCCCGCTGCGCCCACGGGTCTTGCAGCACCGCAGCTCCTGAACCCCTGCTTCCCCCTCCCTGAGGAGCCCGGAATTTGGGTGTGTGTCAGGCAGAGGGGGCCAACGTGACCAGCCCCCGTCAGAAACCCTGGGCACTCCGTCTCTAATGAGCCTCCCGGGGAGGCGCCAACTCCCACGGGTCACCGAGGCTCGCTGCTCCGGCATTAAGGCACCTGGTGTGACTACTACGCTAGGAGGCAGCTCTAGAAGCCTATGTCTGGTTTTGCCCCCAAGGAACCCCACGCCCTTACCCTCGCTGATTCTGTTTTGCATTAATATAGTTCAGCCACAAGGAAGTCTGTATATTGAGTCCTCCCAGCCCAGCATTGAATCTGGTGGTTCGATGGGCTTGGAAATCTCCGTACAAAGGGGTTAAATGTGCTATTAAAATTAATTTCAGCTGTTTCTTCTTACTCACCGTGGCCCCAGCAAGTTCATGAGGACAGATCCGCTCACTTCTGTTTGCACCAACGGCACTGCTTAAATGCCTCGGAAGTAGACATGCCTCAACAGCGAGCCAGAACTTCCGTGTTATATGAGAATCAGAGGCCCAGAGAGGGGGTAGGTGTGGCTAAGGCCACACAGCAGGGAGGGAACAAAGACTTAGGCTACTAACCCGCTGTAGGACCCTGGGTCTTGGGTACTTACCAGATGGGCCCCGAGTGGCCGCCTTGGGGACTGAGGACTTTCTGGATAGGGGTGCCCGACCTCCCTTGTCACTGGGCTCGCTCCGGGCGCTGAGCGGCCGACTGGCTCGGTCTCCACCAGCCGGTCCCTTGGTCTTGGCAGTGGCAGCTGGAGTGGCTTTGGAGGCGGCCGTGCTGGGGTTAGTGCGAGCCAGGGACTTCCGGGTACGGCTGAGGCCCTCTGCCGGCCGGGCCTGTTCGGGGGGCAGCATCTCGGGGTCCACCATGCAGATGCTGGGTGGGGTGGGCAGCGGCGGGGGGAACTTGAGGGGCTCGGGCAGCGGGTCACGGCGAGGGACCCCAAAGCCCTCCATGTCCTCGTCTGAGTCTGCGGTCCCAGGGGCGGCAGGCAGGGGGTCCGAGTCGGACAGGGTGGGCAGGGACTCGCTGACGGATGTGGGGGGCGTCTCCTCTGCCCCTGGTGCTCCAGCCCGCTCCTGGGACCGAGCACTGCTATCAGAGCTTCCGGGGGAGGCAGGTGCCGGCGCCACGGGCACAGCCTTCCGGTGCTCAAACTCGCAGGGTGACACCAGGCACAGGTCCACGTCGTGCGGGGAGGCTGATCGCCGGACCCGGGGGCCTCGGAGTGGGAGGCTCAGCCCAGCCTCGCCTGCACTGGCAGGTGGCGGTGGAGGCAACACCTGCTCGAAGGACACGGACAGGGACTCGTCTACCTCCGTGGAGTGTGGAGAGCCCACCTCGGCGGGCAGCGAGGGCGTGGTCACGGTGGGTGAGGCGTCCGGCCCCGCCTCCCCACCACGCAGCGGGCTCAGCGACAGCCGCCCGCTGCTCTCGGCTGGGCCCTGCTGGGCTGCAGTAGGCGAGGGTGTACGTGGCCGGGGGGTGCTGGCATCCAGCAGAAGCTCCAGCGTCTTCTCCTCCAAGGCGCTGCCGTCCTCCCCAGCTGGGCTCAACCCCAGCTCCAGCTCCAGGCTGCTCTCCTGGCTGGGTGTAGCCACCAGCTGGGGCGCTGGGGAACTGCAGGGCTCTGTCGGGGGGCTGGCCTCTCCACACCGGAAGCTGGGGGGGCTGCGGGGCCCATTCACCACCGGTGGGACACCTGGGCGAGGGATATTGGGTGCTTGGCGGGGTCGGGGAGCGGCTGGGGCCCCTGCCTTCTTCACGCTGACTGAAGCAGAGGCCACCCGGCGGACCTCCCGGGGCTGGGTCCGAGGGGCACTTGGCTTAGGGTCCTTCTTCACCTCTCGGGGGACCCTGGCTTCTTTCTCTGCCTTGCGGGGGGCCTCAACCCGAGGCGGGTCCTTCCGGGCCACCCCAGGGCGCTCCTGGGCTGGCCTGCTGGGTGCTGTTGTCCGGCCTTCTCTTCTCGAGCTGTCCCGGGAGCCCACGCTTTCCTTGCTCTCGGCTCGTCGAGGTCCCAGCAAGTCCTGGGGGGTCACCACGGGCTCCCGCAGGAACCCCAAGTGCTGCAGGCGGACCAGGCCGTCCAGGAGGCGGGTGGGCGGGGTGCAGCCAGGGAAGAGCACACGCACCACCTTCTCTGTGGGGCCGGCAGGGTGCCACACCAGCAGGGCGCACACGGAGGCCAGTGTGCGCTCGGCCCCGGCCGCAGGCGGGTGCAGCACATACATGTCCAGCCGTCCCACACCCATCTTCTGAAAGAGCACGGTGGGCTCGGCCGGGAGCGGCCCGCGGTTCAGAGTCAGGGGTGTGATGCCCAGCCGGGCCAAGAGGCTAAGGGCCAGCTCCGCCTCGTCCTCACCACTCACCAGCCGCGAGGCGGCAACACGGGCATTGAGGAACACGACCCCTAGGTTGGGGGAGATGAGCCTGCGAAGCCGGTCGTCCCCCGAGCCCCCGTCGGCCGCCGCCTCCTCGCGCTCTGCCAGCTTGCGCCGCAGCAGACTGTTGAGGCCTGGGAGGCTGTCAGCGCCCGCGTGGGTCACCAGTACCGCGTCCACCCGGTCCAGGTGCCTCACCAGCTTCCAAAAACTTGACTTGGGGTTGGAGCCCCCATTGACCAACACGGTGAAGCCGTTGACGGCGAAGAAGGCGGCGTCACCGAGGCCGCCGGGGAAGATATAGCAGCAGGGCCGGGCGAGCCTGAGGAAGCCCACAGATGCGGGTGGCTCGAGTAGGTCAAAGGGAGACGGCGGCTCCAGGGACTCAGCCACATACTCCAGGAACTCGCGCAGGCCCTCAGATGCCGGCAGCTGCACAGGTGGGTTCCATCGCAGCTGGAGCGCGCTGTGGAGGCCAAGCACTTCAGGCGCCAGCTGGGCCCAGTCGCCAAAGGTCGGGCAGGTGATGGTGAGCTTGGGCAGGTCTGCAGGTGGGGGTGTAGATGCCAGGAGATCCCGGATCTGCGAAAGCGGGTAACAGTTAGAAGCAGCCCCTGGGAAAACTAAGCCAGGACACTCCCATCCTGCATCCTGGGCCTGGGAGAATCCCTTGCCCAACCCGGTCACCCTTGGGACAAAACCCAGCCCTTCCCATGGTCGAAAGAAATGTATGGTCTTGCCTTACCACCTGCTTCCCTCTCCCACCCTTTCTCTTACTCTCCCTACCCCAGGGCCTTTGTACTTGTTCTTTTCCTACAGCACAGCTTCCTCCAACAAGACCTTCTGTGCCCTCTACCTCCATATCTGCTTCTTATCTCAACCATTGTTACATCACTCTCATAATGTGAAAAGGTGGTTTACCAGATAGTTTTGCTCATTTGTCCCATCCAGACTAATGACTCTAGAAAGGACCCTACCCTCCCGGGACCTAGCACCTCGGGTGTCACTTGAAGTCTCTGGGAGGTCTGCTGATCTACAGGCCTAGCCTCAAATCACACACTGTAGTGGGTGGCGGGAACACGTCACTAGAGCCACAGAGCCCGATGGGGACGAGCCAGGGGAAGCAGGATGAGGAGGAAGTGGCTTACCTCTTTGTCCCCTAGGACCTGGAGGAAGTGGCGGAGTGAAAATCCCCCCGTTTGGAGCAGCAGTTCCCCTGTCTCTTCCAAGCAGGGCCCAGCCAGCACCAGCAGCTTGTGAGGGGCAGGGTCAAGCAGAAGATTCCGGAGCTGAGGAAGGGGAGATGGTTAAAGCCCCTACTCTGTGCAGTGACAAAGCCTGCACACCCCACCCCCCCAACCGAATGGCCTCCAACCCCAAATCTGCATCTAACCACTGCACCCCGTCCCTGCCCTGGTGCTCAACGGGAAGCTGGAGCCCTGCACCCCACCCCAACTCCTGTCGCTCAACCTAAAGCCAGGCTCCAGTGCCTCCTCTTCCAAGAAGCCCACCTTTCTGGACTCCCTCCAGCCCACTTCTCTCTCTGGCCCAGCCCCAGTGCCAAGGGAAGGAGGATTTCTTTTTTTTTTTTTTTTAAAGATTTTATTTATTTATTTGACAGAGAGAGATCACAAGTAGACAGAGAGGCAGGCAGAGAGAGAGAGAGAGAGAGAGAGGGAAGCAGGCTCCCTGCCGAGCAGAGAGCCCGATGCGGGACTCGATCCCAGGACCCTGAGATCATGACCTGAGCCGAAGGCAGCGGCTTAACCCACTGAGCCACCCAGGCGCCCCGGGAAGGAGGATTTCTGTGTCTGACTCTATCTCCTTCAGAACTCAAGGGAACAAAATGGAGCGTTTTTGATCAGAAGAATGAACCTGTACAAGGGTCTCTAGAGGAGTGTCCTGGGGCTCCATCTTGTTCATCTTTCCCATGGATAACGAGAGAAAGACACAGACGTCCATAAGCTGGAGGTATTAAGAAGTCAATTCAGACAACTCTGGGGGCCCAGCCAGGAGGGAGGCACGAGACGCAAGCACCAGTCAAGTCCTACCTTCCTGCCCCCAGACGTTCCCTGCTCATTCCTTCCTCCCAAACTCCAGTCTTTCCTGACTTCACCCACTCCCACCAACACCCCTGAGGAAGGAATAAGCTACAGCCGAGGCCTTCCAGGGAGGCTTCCTAGAGGAGGGGGTGATGCTAGTGGGTGTCAAGAGGATTTCAAACAGCATAAAGCCAGGGCCACAGGAAGGCAGGACTTGGGATGGCGCCAGTCCCAGCAGATTCCCAGACTGTTCCCTACCTCGTCACACAGAGACTTGTCTGATGGGTTCAGGAGGACCAGGGTCTCCAGGGTGTCTCCGCGGTGGTGCAGGCTCCGCTGGCCTGTGGGAGAATTGGGCGCAGTGAGTTTGGGGCTGCGCAATGTGTGCGGGGCCAGGCTGTCCTGGGGTCGAACCCTGCCTCCCTGTGTGACTCTAGGCAGCCACAAGCCCCTCCAGGACTCTGCTTCCCAGGAACCCTAGCCAGCGGTTCATCTGAGGATCAACAGGCACATGGTCGAGCTGCAGGTCAGGATGAGGTAAGAACAGGAAACCTGCCTTGGCAGGCCTCACACTGGAAACAACAGTGACAACAGGCCTCCACTGCTCGCCGGCCCCAATTCACAGCAGTCAGCCCTATGGGGGATAGGGCTGTCACCCCCATTTTATAGGCAAGAAGCCTGAGCCCAGCGAAGGCCAAGGAGGTACACAAGGAAGAGGGCAGACACGTGTAAGGGCTCTGAGGCAGGACTGTCTGAAGATCAGGAAGTGGCAGGTGAGGCCAGAGTGAGGGGAGCATAGGGAAGCATAGAGGAGCGTGGGGGAGCATGGGGGCAGGGAGGCCTCCTGGGCCATGAAGAGGGAAGTGGAGGTGATTCTGGAATCTGAACCCTGGTCTGCCCCCCAGATCCCAGATGTTTCAAAAATGGAGCACCAGGCCTGAGGCTGGGGACCTTGTGGCACTGGTCAACCTTTTATCAGTTTATCACAGGCTTATCATCATGTACGGATATTGCCCCATTCCAGTGGGGAAACCAAGGCATAGAGGGAGGAAGTAGCTGCCGCAGTCACACAGAGCAGATGGGATTTCCAGCCCCCGCCCCCCTCAGTCCTGCGAGCGGTCAGGAAGCCACCAGGAACGGCCAGGACAATGAGGCGAAGGACACTTCCTTCCCCTCCTGCAGCAGCCTGGGGCTGACTCAATGGGCTGGCTGAGGCAAGAGGGGCCGCGGGTGACACCTGGAACCTGGCCATCAGCTGCTCCGTGTGATGGGTCACCCGGGCTCTGTGGGGCTAGCCCGGGCACCTCACCCTTTCCTTGATCTTGCTCCTTTCCCAGCTTCCCATCTATTGCGCACCTACTGTGCATTCAGCCCTGTATGGGGGACATGGCCATGAGCCAGGCACAGTCCCTGCCACAGGGGGGCCCACACTCCACCTTCCAAGCCCATTTTGCAGCCCCTCGCTTCCCAAGTATCTTCTCACTTTGCCTGGGCCCTTCCCTCCCCTTGACACATCAGTCCCAGATGCCTCTGATCCAAAGAACCCACCCTTGGAGGTCGCCCTGTCCCCCACCCCTCAACTGCTTCATCTGCAAAATGGGAACAAAAATACAAGCTCCTGCCTGGTGCACAGCTGGAGTAAGCTGGCTGGAGCCGGGTCAGGGCCCACCCCGCTCTGCATGCTATAGATTGCAGCTGTATTATTACTGCTCTTTATAGCCATACCTGCCCCCCCCAAAGCCTGGCACATAGCTGGCACTCAGAGAACACGTGACTAGCTCATGCGTGGAAGGGGAGCAACTCCGGCATGCAGGGTCTCCAGTCTCACCTTTCACAATGCTGGAGAAGGTGGCAGAGTGCCGGGACACAAAAACCTTGAGCTGCTCATCAAGGCTGCAAATGCCAGGGTCAATGTCCCAGGACCGGATGCCTGTTGCGGAGGAGGGGGGGTAGGAGAAGTGAGGTAGGACTCAGCTGGGCTCCCAGGCTCTGAGAACAGTTTAATAACCAGTATCTGGGAAGTGGGAACAATCCCAGCCCCTCCCCTCCACTTGCCCCCCAATGCAAGAGCCTGGAGACTCAGAACCACTCAAAGTGCCCTTGGATTTTCTGCATCGTTTCAAGGAACCCAAAGCATAACTCAGCATTTCAAAGAGAAGAATCAACATCAACAAGAATGCTCCCACCTCCTAAACAGTCACTTGGTCCCCTCCATCATCGCCCTCACCCCCACCACTGGTCTCACAGCTTCTACAACCGTCCAGACACACTCCCCAGACACACTCCCACTGCTTGGCCTTTGCACCAGCTGCTCCCACTCTCAGGAGGCCTTTCCCTCTGCTTCTACCCTTCAGGTCCTCAGCCGTTCGCACCGTTCTGAACACTCCTGACAGCAGGTGAGCTTAAAACTTGTTCCACCTCCTCGCCCACTTTGGGTCCATCCCCCTACCAGACTGTTGGCCCTGTGAGAGCAGAGCTGAACCTGCCTGTGGTCCCCACACTATCCCAGCACATGGGTCGGGGGGAGAGGGGGCAGGAGGACCCAGGCATAGAGGACGACATTCCCAAGCATGAGAACCGAAGTGTGTGCTGCCCTCCCATTTTACAGGAGCCAGACCGCAAGCCCTGTCCATCTGATTGGGTGGGGGGGGGGGAATGAATGCCCTCCAAACACGGTGTGGGGTGCACCACGCCCGCCGGTTCCACCGTGCCAAGTGGCTGCAGGTGAACTTTGCAGGTGCACCTATGACTCACCTCCCCAGATGCCAAATCCCCTGGGCAGGCCGCGACCGCCCACACCCCAATTAGCAAGCTCCTTGTGGTGCAACGGAAAGTGGGCCCCGGGGCTCCTGGCCCAGCCTCCGCACCCCTGTTCCTCCTTCCAGAACGTCCAGGATACTAAGACCGGGGACTTCGAGGTGACCCCACCCTCCCTTCGGCCTGCCAGTCTGGCGGGAAGCAGAGCCGTCGTCCGTTGTTGCCCAATCACGCAAGTCCCAAAGCCCCGGCCCGGCGTCCAGTCCCTGGGCTGCACCCCGGTCGGGGCGGGGCAGCCCAGCCCAACCCAGGCCCGGGCACCGCCTTCTCCGTGGGCACCGAAGGCCTCAACCCGCGCCATACGCCTAACGGTGAGGAGGACCGAGCCTCCCGGCCCCAGGATCCCGCCGCCCCCCAATCCTATCCCCTCCCCGCCCCCAACCCGGCCGCCCCACCCCCCGGCCCTCGGGCCGAGACGATCGACCGCGCCCGCCTCCCGCACCCCGCGCCCCCAGGCCGGCCCGACCTCGTTCGAGCTCCTCCAGCACATAGGCAAGCAGCCCCGAGCACCCGCACTCGCCGCCCACCACGAGCAGCAGCGAGCTCGGCGACTGAGTCGCCCCGGGACCCACCACCGCCGCCGCCATCTTCGCGCCGCACTGACGCTCCGAGCGCCCACCCCGCTGACCCCGCCCCTTAAAGGGGCCAAACCGGAAGAACTGAAGACCCCGCCCGGAAGCCTCCTCGCCCCTCATCTGCCACGGTCGACCCCTTCAGGTTTCCGGAGCTGGGGACCGAGCCCTGAAGTGGTTGGCTGACTCTTGGATCGCCACCATGGCCACCCCTTCCCAAGTGATCATTCCTTCGTCCGTCTGTCCATCCATCCATCCATTCATTCAACAAGCTTTGACTGCATGCCTACCACGTGCTCTATGAGAACTTACCACATCACAGTGGGCCCAGTCAGAACCAGGTCCCATACATGCTTATAGGTCCCTGGGTCAGGGCTTGAACAGAGAAAAGAAAGTTATCTTATAGCTAGGGCTTTAAGGGATGTGTAGGAGTTTGCCAGGTATGAGTGGTGGGGCAAGAGCATATGAAGCAGAAATCAGAGCATGTGTAGAATTTTGGAGGTAGGAAAGTACGTTTGTGTTTGCAACACATTCCGGAGCCCACTGGGTCCTGAAGCAGGGTAACATGCTGGCACCTATGTGCCAAACATTTTACTCCATTAGCTCATCGAATAAATCTATGAGGTAGGTAATGTTATTATGGTCACTTCAGAGAGGAAACTGAGGCTTGGAGAAATGAGGTTATCAGCCCCTTAAGTGATAGAACAGAATTGAACCCAAGTGAGTCTGATTCTAGGTCCAGCCTGTGGCAGGCACGGACTGCCAGTCTCACATGCGTACCCCTCCTTCCCCAAACAATCTCATTCAACGCTTTTCTTTTTTAAACGATTTTATTTATTTATTTGAGAAAGAGAAAGAGTGTGTGCACAGGCAGGGGGAGGGGCAGAGGGAGAGGGAGAAGCAGACTCCCCACTGAGCAGGGACCCCCCCCCCCCACCTCCCCCAAGCAGGGCTTGATCCCAGAACCTGGGATCATGACCTGAGCCGAAGGCACATGCTTTAACTAACTGAGCCACCCAGGCATCATCCCTCATTCAACCCTTTAAACTATGGTGGCCGCTACTTTAAAAATTACATTGCATCAAACTTTTTGACGGTTGCCTGTGCCCAGGAAGGGCTGGCTTGTCTCTCTTGGGAGTGAGGTCTCTATATCTGGAGGCATACAAGACAGAAATGAAAAGTCCTGGGAAACAGGATTGGCCTCCTGCTATCCTTCATTATCTAGGGTTGTTCAGCCCAACTTCCTCCCTGGCCACGTGCTAACGTCCTAGTACTCCACTTCCTCTCTCCCTTTCTAGCCCTGGCATTCTTCCTCTATCCCGGTCCCTCCTTTTTAGCTCTCTCCCCTGTGTCCTGGCTGCATGTGATTTCTTGCATTATTGCTATGAGCAATAACAGGAATGGGAATGTCAGTGTCAGGTTCTATCTCACCTATCAGTCTGGGAGCTCAGTTGGAGGCAGGGCCAGGCAGAGGCTTCTCTGGAGCCCTGACCTTTTGTAACACATGGCTGAGTATCCTGGAAATGCATGATAAAGGCTTGTGAAATGAGGGTGAAAAGCCCATTTGTCCACCATTCATTTATTCATTGATTCTTTCATGTGTATTTATTGGTTGAGTGGACTTGAATCCAGGACCTTCTGACCAAAATCTGGTCTCTTCCTTCCTGCCCAAGGCTGTGAGTTATGATTGTGGCTATTAATTCTAGTTTGTCTTAAAGGGCCCTGAAGTGTGAGCATGTTCTCCACCAGGCTGTCTGATTTGGGAGGAAAGGTCATCCCCAAGGACTCTGGGGGCTGATGTTCTCAGCATTCTGGAGTCCTGAGGTTTTTCTGTCCCAGAGTGTCACCCAGGTGGATGACCCCCAAATGGGAAATGTGAGGAGTGTCTCCCCAGCTATGAAGCATCTGGGGCATCATTTCTGAGATCCCAGGCACCAGACTTAGGTCACTGTCCTTCTGCCTTTGTCTACACCCAGCTCCATGCCTCTTTCAAGGTCATCCATCCCTAGAGGGATCAGATGACAGCATTTGTGGGGGGAAATGGAAACCTTAGCCCTCAAGACTGCTGGACACCTTTGTTTTCCTACCCTGGCAATTCTTTTCTTTTCTTTTCTTTTTTTAACGTTTTTCTTGAGGTTTAACATAAGGCATGGGCAAGTTCACAAATGTCTAACATGGAAATTGACAAGGACGATGACCCTTTGGTCAGGATCTAGGACATGCCCAGCTCCTGGCAGTCGCTTGGACTTCCCAGCTGACGCTCCCCTCCCTCAAGCCAACCACTGCCCCGACCTCTATCATTATAGGTGAGTTTTACCTGGTTCTGAACTTCGCATAAATGGGATCACAGAGGGTGTCCACCCTTGGAGCCTGCTTCTCTTATGGCGAGGAGCAGGTGTTACTCCTTTTCATGGTGAGGTAGTAGTCTCTGGTTCCATTTTTTTAATGTTGCAGTAAAATACATATAACACATAACTTATTTTAACCACTTTAAAGTATGTCATTCAGTGACACATAGTACCTCCAGTTCACAACGTCTCGGCACCTTCACTGACACTAGCTCTGGAACTCTTGCATTCCCATTAGCCATCATTCCCCGTTCCCCTCCCCCAAGCCCCTGGCAACCAGTATTCTACTTTCTGTCGCTATAAATCCGTCCTGGACATTTCATACACTATCTGGCCATTTCTATCAGGCTTCCATCATTCAGCATATTGTTTTCAAGGTGCATGCATATTGTATCCACGTACAACTCCTTTATTCCTGACATTCCTGGTTTATCCGTTCCACCATTGGTGGACTTTTGGGTGATTTGTACCTTTTTGCTATTGTGACTAGTGCTGCTGGGAACATTCGTGCACAAGTTTTTGCTGAATACCAGCTCTCCATTCCCTTGCATGTATGCCTAGGAGTGGAATCTCTGAGTCACGTGGTAATTCTATGTTTAGTTTTTTGAAGAGCTGCCAGACCCGTTTTCCACAGCGGCTGCACCATTTCACATTCCTGTCAGCAACGTATGAGGATTCCAATGCCTTCACGTCCTTGAAAAGACCTGGATTTTATCATCATCGTCGTTACTATTCTTGTTATTAAAAGCTCTGGGTACCAGCTTTATACCGTTTGTCCCCTTCACCTGTCGGTGGACATTTGGGCTATAGTGGATGAAGCTGTTTTGAGCCTTTTTTGTACATGTCTTTTGGTGACTATACCTCATTCTCCCCCCTCCCCCCATAAATGCCTAGGGGCGGGATGGCCAGGAGATGGGGTAAGAGATGGCTGGACTGCTTTCCCAAGTGGTCTGTGAGGTCCATCCATCCTCAGCAACACTTTGATTTTAGCCTTTTCAATATTTGCTTTTTTTCCTGTCCATCCTCTACCCCTCTCACTAATGCAGTACATCTGTCAACATCCATTAAGCATGTGTGTTGAGAACACTAGTTCTCAGTGCTGGGGAGGGGAACAAAACTGTTGGTCCTGGGTGTGCATCACTCCCAGTCTGGGATTGAAGGAGGCTGAGGTCCCCGAGGCTGTATGCTTTATATATTAGTTAATTTTACCCTTGCAACGATTTAGGACAAAATCTCTGAGTAAACACATTTAATAAGTGGGCAAGACAGATTGGGAGAAGTCAAGGGGCAGATTCGGTGTTCAGCACCCTGACCAGGATGTGAACCCAGGACATCTGACTCCAGGCCCTGCAATACTCATTCATCATTCGTCTGTTTATTCATCCCCTCCGGAAACACTTCCTGATAACTCTCCTGTGCCCCTAAGAGGTCTCAGTCCTGGTTCCCAAGGAGACCTCAGTATGCAGGAGGAAGAGCTGTCCATGGATGTCCCCTAGCCCTGGGGAGTCAGGGTTGAGCTGGAGGGTGGGTTCAGGAGCTGGAAGAATTGTGAGTAGAGGAGTAAGGGCTTTGACTGGGGAGAGAGAGAAGGTATCCTCAAAAAAGGGACATTGGAGCTAGGGTTTTGAAGAGTGCATAGGAGTTCATCAGGCAGATGATGTATTCATTAATTCAACAAACACCTCCAGCCAAATCCTCTTCTGCTAAACTCACCCTAACCAGTTCCTAAGGAGTCCCCAGGCTGGGGGAGTCAGAACCACACAGATTCCCCAAAAAGTCATGGATGAGGGGCAAGGAGAGGTGGAGCATAAGTATGCCCTGGAGGAGAGGAATATGGGGCCAGCAGGAGTCTCCTGGGAGGAGCCTGTGTCTCCAATTCCCTCCTCCAGAGCAAAAGCAACAGGTGCTGAATGGTTTTTGCTTTGTAATGTATTCCTTGGGTTAAATGAGGCCACGATGGCATGATTCTGCCTCAAAGAGATGCTTGGGCCTGGTCCAAGCCACTTCCCAGCAATGCAGTGTCAGTTTCCCCAGGTGATATATTTGGAAGGAAAAACAACTAACCCCTCCCTCTGGGCCTGGTGGTGTAGTGGTAATGGAGGAGCATTGAATTGTTGCTTGTGGATGGAGGTCCATGCAATTGAGACATTTGAGACCTGTGAATGGAGCAGGGAGGTCCCAACCAGATCTGGAGAGATCTAGGAGGACTTCCTGGGGGAAGCAGCACTTGAGGCAGGACTTGAGGGAGAAGGAGTTGAGTACAAGTATGGGACAGGGAAAGGAGCACCTGGAGGAGGAAGAGCACTTCCTGTGGGGGAGAACAGCATGTGCAAAGGCTCTGAGGCCAGAACAGACTGGGTGTGTTGGAAGAGTACAAGCCCACAGAATGGCTGGGTGGGTTGACTGGGAAATGCAAGAGGGT